ACTAAAAAGGTTTGTTTTGATGCCCAAAAATCATCAAATTGATCATCTCAGCACCAAGATGCATAGACATGAGAAAATTTTCAAAATTTGAAAATAATGCATCTTGTAATATATTTTTTGACCGTCAATTTTCAAGATTTCATAGATCTGCTCGATTTACACTGTGTTTGAAGCTTTAAATTTTATAATTAAATATAAAAATATATTTTAAGGCTACCACAAAGATTTATAGCATCGAAGCCACATTTCTCGATACTATTTGAATGTGTGCTTTACTTTGGTGGTTTAGAGCCTTGGCTCTATACAAACCTCACCCATTTGTAAATCACATAGAAGTTCTTTATTAATCAATTGCCGAACCACAAAGTGGTATGCAAATTACATGAAATTAAAAATCAACCGTAACACTAAGATTTAAACCACGGGGTGATTGATGAAGTCCGCTAAGCAATAATAAAAAAATTACCATATTTCTTCTTTGGGTTCTTTTTAATTTCATGTAATTTGCATACCTCTTTGTGGTTCGGTAATTGATTAATAAGGTACTTCTCTGTGATTTACAAATAGACTTGAAAGCACAAGTTCCCAATAATATAAATATTCCTTAATTTAGAAAGTAGGAAATGAAGTGATTCAATAAAATTTTGAGAATTTATTAATCCTTATTTATTTGCATGAAAGGATAAATTCATTTTCATATCCCTTAATTTATACTTATGTATGTTTTAGACAATAATAATAATACAAATACTGCCAACTTTAAGAAAACTAAGAAGCTAGCTTGGTCCTATATATGTACAAAAACCTTAATTAATTTGGATCCTTTGGATCTATACACCTGACATATCTTTTAATTTACAAGAGAATTTTTATAAATAAAAATTTCAAATAAATTTTTTATAAGGTCATTTAAATGATTTTTAACCCAAAAAATTAAAAAAAGTAGTTCTATTTATGCTATATATGCACATAAACCTTATTTCAATGGACTCTATGACATCCGATAATTTGGAAGACATAAATTTGGGTGATGAAGCTGACCCTAAACTTACTTTTATCTCAGCTATTATGTCTCCTGAAGAGGAGTACACTGAATTCTTGCGAGCCAATCAGGATGTCTTTGCCTAACATTATTAGGAGATGCTCGATCTTGACCGTCAAGTCGAAGTTCACAGGTTGGCGATTGACCCATCCTTTAAACCTGTCAAACATAAATCAAGGAGGTTCCGAGTCGACTTGTAAATCCAGATCAAAGCAGAAGCGAATAAACTAGAGACAACAAATTTCATAAAAAAAGTCAAATACCGAAATGGCTAGCTAATGTTGTGCCAGTCAAGAAGAAGAATGGTTAGATCATGGCATGTATTGACTTCTGTGACTTGAAGGCAGCTTGTCCTAAAGATGACTTCCCACTACCCTTCACCGAATTATTGATAGACTCGACGGCCAGTTGTTAGGCCATCTCTTTTATAGATGATTATTCGAGGTATAACCAATAAGGATGGCACCAGAAGATGAAGAGTATTGTCTTCCTGACTCCCAAAAGGTTTTCCTGTTATACGGTGATGCCCTTCAGTCTCAAAAATGTCGGGGCCACCTATCAAGGGGCTATGACCACTGCCTTCGAAGATATGTTGCATGAAGAAGTGGAATGTTACGTAGATGATCTCGTAGTAAAGTCCAATGAAAGGAGCAATCATATACAAAATCTTGAGAAAATATTTGAAAGACTTTGTCTTCATCAACTCAAAATGAATCCTGTGAAGTATTCCTTTGGAGTGTAATCAGGATAGTTCTTGGGATTCATTGTCAGTTATCGAGGCTTGGAGATTGAACCTGTCCAAATTAAAGTTATTTAAGAGATATCATCTTTGAGAAATTTACGAGAGCTCAGATCTCTTTAAGGCATGCTTGCCTATATCCGGAGATTCATTTCAAACCTTTTAGGACGGTGTAAACCCTTCTCCCGTCTATTAAAAAAAGATGTGACTTTCGAATGGGACGAAGCATGTCAGATAGCTTTTGAAGAAATCAATAATTATTTGTTGAAACCTCATGTTCTCTCTGCACCAAATCCAGGGAAACCTCTCATTTTATCCTTGATTGCATTAGATGAGTCACTCGGGACCTTGCTAGCGCAAAATAATGATGAAAGAAAGGAGACGGCTCTATACTATCTAAATTGAATAATGCAAGGAGTTGAGGAGAACTGCTCTCCCATTGAAAAGATATGCTTATCTTTGATATTTGCAGTACAAAAACTCAGACACTATTTACTTGCACACCTAGTTCAGCACATCTCTTGATCATACCCTATTTTCTCTTGTTGCGCCATTGTCTATCAGTCGACTTGCGAAATGGTCATTATTTTTCATGGAGTTTGACATCACATATGTGCCACAAAAAGCTGTTAAAAGTCAAACCTTGCAAATTTCTTGGCTGCACACACTCTCTCAGGTAATTCTCTCTTATATGACAATTTACTAGATGAAGAAGTATTTCATACTGAAGCTTCATATGATTGGACGATGCTATTCCTACCCCGAGTAAGGCACCTTATTGCCACTTAACTATCAGCAAAGAATCTCCTTACCTTTTTTCACTAGGAATCTTATAAGCAATCTATTACGATTTGTGTCGGGATACTCTATCTAATAGGATAAAAAATGATTATTTTATTTACAACAAAATCAGGTAAATCAAAAAGACCATGATTTTATGTTGATGATCGAAAAACAGACAGACAACGGTTTGGTACAAGTAATATAAATTAGGGGGCTGGTCTAATAAGGATGAGGACCTTAAATTTTCTTTAAATCGTCCCAGGCCTTGGTAAAAGATGTGGGTTATGTTAAGTAGGCAGTCAGCATAAAACTTTGTCATATTTTATCATGAATCTTTAACCAATTATGCATATATAACCCTAAATAATTGATGAGTAAGATTGAGGTAGTTGATTCCAAATCATGCGAATAAAGCTTAGGATGATAAATATAAATTAGGGGCAGGTATTTTGTTAGAAATTAAACTTTTCAACGGAAAAGGTTGTTTCTTTTATAAAATTGGTACATGTGGTTCTTCGGTAGGGGAAGAGCATATGTAGTGTGTTCCCACAGGAGCAAACTATACACTTACTCATAGTTAAGCACCTACTTAGGGTGTTTTGTCAATCTAGAATTTTAATATCCACTAGTCACCAAACAAGAATTTTATTGAAAAGTGGATTTTCAGATTATAAAAACCTTTGGATCTAACCGTCCAACTCCGTTCAAACTTGGGATCCCTCTTGGTCTTTAAGCACATGCTTTCTTTTTGTTCTTTTTTAAGGAAAATTGTTTCATGCGGGCTCCGGACCGCATTTCTACAACTTGAAGTCCAAAGGTATAAAACATCCATTATAAAGATAGATGCAAATAGGTGGTCCATCTAACAACAATTAAAA